GTACTGGAAGGAAGCACAGAGCAGTGAGTGCCATTTCCCTGCTGGAAGGGTTAGATAACAACTGCTGCCATAAAGCTCTGCCATAAAAACAACTGTCCTGGGGAAAAACCAGAGCGGGTGAGCTGGGAAATGAAAGAGAGAGAGGGATGGAGAAGCCTGGGGTGCAGGAGGATGGAGAAGCCTGTGTTCCTGCCCTGTGGGATGTGCCTGGCTCCCAGAGCACAGAGGGGACAACCCCCTGCCCACAAACACCCCCAAGGTACATTGAATTTCCATTGAATTTCATCTGCCTTGCTCTGCTCTACTCACCGGGGCAGGAGAGTTGATCACAGACACGTTGTAGCCGTACTGGAAGGAAGAGCCAAAGGCAGAAATCAGAGCCACCAGGGCCAGGGGAAGTGTCATTTTCTGCAGAGGGACAGAAAAAAAACCCCCATGAACACCTCCTTGGAAGTGGGCCTGGCTCTTAGGCATTAATAACGTTCAGTAAAAACAATGAAGCACACAAAGTCTTGCTTTCTGTGTTTTTGCCTTCATTTTATAAAAGCCCAATGGGTTGTTTCCATTACAGCTCATTTTGTTCTGCTCGGTATGCCCAACGTCATTAGAGTAATTCACTCTGCTTTGCTGGTATTGATGAATCATTTGGAGGATTAATTATTTTTTTTTTTCCAAGTTACCGTTCTTAAAACAGCACCCTGCAGGGGAAAAGGTTGTATGCAATTATTCTTTTCCAATGTGCAAATTGGGCAGTGCAATAACACAGGATATTGGCAGAGGAAAGCTTTAAAAAGAAGTGATTTTTGCATTAAGTGGCCAAATCCCTTTCCTGTTCGTTTTTTCTTCCTCTGCATTTTGGGATAGAGCTATTTATGGATCTAACTTATTGCCACTGAAGCCAATTAGAATTTATCCAGGCTGAGGGGTGCAAGAGCTGCCCTTAGCACTAGAGCAGAGGAGAGGAATTGCCTTCTGGAGGGGATCAACACCCCGTTGTGGGCACACATTCCCCGGGGTCGCAAACAACCAGAAGAACTCGATTTTCCCAACAGTTTAGCTGCACTTCAGCCCCCGGGCTGTGTTGACAGAGCTGCCTTGCTGGGGTTTTGTTCGGCTGGGTTTTATAGCTCGCTAATGCATCTCACTGCTGCCACATCAATAAAGTCATTTTTCATTTTAATCCCGTTTGCTGCCACCGTCACCAGCCTTAATGGCCTTAATGTCTGCGAGGTTTTCCTTCCAGCACTCAGCTCAGGTCCCACAGAGGACTCTGCCACTTCCCTAATTGAACATTTGTCCAAATAGCTGCTGGTGCTTCTTCCTATTCCTCAGGATCTCCGGCAGCTCAGCTCCAGGGATCTGCAGAGTTTAAGGTGTTACAGGAGATCAAAATTCAAGTCTGTCTCAGCCTAAGGATTGGAAGGAAGCTCAGGCTGCCAGGTCCGTTTTTTGGGAGGAGACTGCTGACATTCTCCCATTGGTGAAGAGAAGCAGCTGCCTTGCTCTCATGAACCAAATCCCAGGAGCTTCCAAAGAGCCGCTGGTGTTAATTATTGACATCCAGCACTCTCAAGAAAACCCCTGGCACTGCCCAGCAGTGCCTTGTGCAAGACTGCCCGACACTGCTGCCAAAGGCAGCCCCATCCAGAAGCATCTGCAGCCTAAAACTGATCAGAAAATAGGAAAGAAAACCCACACAGAAGGGGAAAGTCACAGAGAAGGGAAGTCACACAGAAGGGGAAAGTCACAGAGAAGGGAAAAGTCACACAGAAAAGTCACACAGAAGGGAAAAGTCACACAGAAAAGTCACACAGAAGGGAAAAGTCACACAGAAGTGGGAGAGCTGCAGACAATCACTCAGTGCGACACAGACACAAACTGGGCTCAGCAGAAACACCTCAGCCCGAAAGCTCAGGGTCTTTTCCCCTCTTTGCAGGTACCCCCAGGTGCCCAGGGCTGTCCTGCATCCCCGTGGGAGCTGGAAGCAGCAGGCTGCATACTCACCCCCCTGGCACCTGCAGCGCCCTCGGAGCTGCCCCGCTGCCCTCCCTGCAGCTTCATGCTGCCCCGGGGTCACAGGTGCTGAGCACAGCTTCCTCCGGTCACAGGGGCATGGGGACACCCTGCACAGAAAAAAAAAAACCCTTCTGTGACTCTTCCAAACGCTTGCAGGCTCTGTCAGCCGGGGTGAGGCACTGTGAGTGATCCTCCCCTTCCTCTGCTGCGATTTCATTTTCTTCCAACTCTGCTGCCAGTGACAGATGTTCTTTTAGCAGACCCTGTCTCGTGATGCTGCCCAGTGAGAGGGGGCACAGCTCATCTCTCCAGGGAGAAGGGGCAGGCTTTCACCCAAGCTGGTACAATGAGCCAGTTTGCCCCAGTATCTGGACATTTGGACAAGGAGAGCCCAGGGGGAGGCACAGCCAGAGGTGCTGCCCAGCAGCTGTGGCACCAGGGAGTGTGGGGAGCAGCCCTGGCAACAGAGGGATTGCCCTGAGCCACAGCACTGCAGCTGGACCCCACTGACCCCCCTGCAGAGAAATTGCACAGCTCTGCCCCCCAAAAATTGCAGAAGGCTGCTCCTTTCCTACCTTGCAGGGACTTTCCTGCCTCAGGCACTGCTGCAGTCCCCAGAGCTCATCCTGCCAGAGCTGTGCCTGCCCGTGTCTCCTCCAGAGCAGGTCCTCTCCCTCTCCATGCAGGAGGAGCACCTCGTGCTGCTGGCTGGCTGTTAACCCCCTCTGTTACGGGATTCTTTAAGAGCCCAGCGCCTGGTTAATCATCCACTACAACTCCCGAGTTTATCACAGAAATGCAAAGTTCACAGCAGCCGGATAAACTAGAACAAAACCTGCTGGTTGTTGGTCTGCTTATTTTTATCAGGCGGTTCAGGGGGGGAAAAAAAAAGGCATCTCTTGAGCAACACCTCGGTGCCACGTGCCCTGCACAGGCTCCCTGGCTGGCTGCAGCATCGCCTGCTGCACGTGGCAGCAGCGTGCTCCAATGCAGCAGGGAGAGTGGGGAACTCAACACATCACTCTGGATGTCCAGAGTCACCCAGAGAACCCCTGGGGGGCTCGGAGACCTTGGAGTGCTGCCAAAAGTGTCTGGTGGCTTGACTTCGATCCATCTAGAGATGAAATATCTGTGTGTGAGGAAATGAGAAGTTCTAGGGTGTGAGGAGTGTATTTATGGGATGAAATATAGATTTTAGAAAATTAGGTCCGGGGTGGGGGGGTCATGAAGACAAGATGGAGGATTCAGGACGTAGTCCTGGGTTGTTCTTTCTTCTTCATGTTTTCCATTTTCTGTAGTGATGTTGGCACTTTTGGATTGGTTCATGGTGAAGGTACACTTGTCTCTAAGGGTGAAAAGTATTGGGAATTAAAGGTAAATACATAATTTTCACTATAAAGGACACAATCATCCCATGGGTGGGGGAGAGTGCACTCAGCTGTCCTGCTGAACAGACCTCGGCTGGGCAGAAAGAAAATATTGTAGATAAGAATTAATAAACAAGATTGAAGACCGAAAACCTGAGAGTCCAGACTCGTCCTTGGAATCACAGCCACCCAGAACCACTTTTCCCATGTCAGAGGGGGCAGAGCCAAATAACAGCAACCCCGACAGAAGAGCAGAGCCCTGCTGCTCTCACGTGGAGGATTCAGTCCCCAGCTCCTGGCCCTCTCTCCTTTGGTGCATTTCTCCCAGTGCAGGCACAGTTCCCAGGTGTCTTGACAGGGGTCACGCTCCTGTGCCACAGCTCCTGTGCCACAGCTCCTGCTCCCTCACCTTCATCTTAAGCCAAGAGGGAAAATTCTGCCCCAGAGTTGGGGAAACTGCAAAGAGGGCAAATTTCCATCATGGAATTCCAGTCCTTCAAAGGCAGTATTGGCCTCTGGGAGCTCTTGGCAGAATGACAGCTGCTCTGACACTCACTTAATGCAAGGAAGCAGAATTCTCTGTCATGGTCTTTAAACTCTGTTCCTGAACTTGAAGAAATGATCTTGAAACATGCAGGAATCAAAGAGAACACACATGTTTGTCATCAAAACCCCTTCATCGGAGTAAACATTTGCTTATGGCAGCAGAACAGTTGGGATATTTTCCAAGCACAGCAGGAGTGTGGCAACAACATCTCTGTGGTTGTAATTGGCACTGGGATGATCTTGGAGGAGCTTGGTGAAGGGAGACAAGACAGTAAATCAACTCCTTGGGTTTTCAAAGTGGCTGCAGGGGTGTGACATCTTCAGCAGCTGGGAGCCTGCTGGACTTGGCAAAGGACAGAGCCAGGAACGAGCAAAGAGCTGATTTTACAGGCATTTACACATTTCAGCTGCAGCACATCCCCAGGTTCTACATCTGCACGTGTGCCTGGGGATGTTCACTCTGTGTCTGCCCTGCCCTCACCCAGCTCGTGGTGTGCAGGGATTTATTTACCCTCAGCTTAATCTGTGCTCAAGGCTGGATCCTGTGAAACCCTGATATCTTTAGGGGGAAAAAAAATGATGAAGAGGGCAAACTTAGTTTGCAGGACAGTACATGTGCTGGAGAACGTTAGTGGTGAGCTCTGAAATGTGATGTTTGAGCAGGAGCTGGCAGCCAGCCCTGCTGCAGGGTGCTCATGGCAGTGCCCACCCTGAGGAGACATCCCACAGAATATATCCACTGTGACACCTTCCCACCTGCATTTTGGGAAGGAATTGCATGCTCAGGCAAGGCTAATTCAACATTCTGGGCCCCTGAGCTACAACGGGACTTGAGGTGAAACAAGGATTTCAGGAATTAATGATCTGCCTGAAAATAAATCACACCCAGACCGTGTTTATCAGCTGTCCCAGGGGCTTCCAGTCCAACAAGGAGAGGGGGATTTGGGTCTGGTGCCCTGCAAAAGGACAGGGCTGGATCCACGAGGGCTCTGCAGGGACAGCAGCAGAGCTGGGCTCTGGGACCAAGACCCAGATCTGTTTGTGCTGCACAAATGCAACGCTGGCCACTGCCCTGCTAAAGAAACCAAACTTTTATTTTGTAAACGTCGGAGAAAATACTTTAAAAACCACAAGTGAGGAGCTGTGAATGAGGTAAAACGTTATCATCCCCAGAGGGCACACGGAGCCCCAGCCCTCCCCAGCGTGACCCGGCAGCGGCAAGGCGCAGAGCTCTGAGCCGGGCTGTGTCCTGCAGGGCAGGGGCTGTCCCCGGGGAGCCTGGGGCACCCACAGCCTGCAGGGCCCTCGTTCCCTCAGCAGAACCCCCACACACCCCGGCGGTGACAGCCCCGAAAGGCCAGGGAGGAGGGGAAACCACGCAGAGGCACCGTCCAGCCATCAGCACCGCGGCACAAGCGTTGCTGTCCCAGCTCAGAGGCTGCAGCTCCCTGCAGGACAGCCCTGCTCGGCCCTTCCAGCAGCTCCTGCAGCCTGCCCGGGGCTTTGCTCACCTCACAGCTCAGCAGGCACAAAAGCGAGAGCCAAAGCAGCGCTCAGACTGCCGGTGCAGGGGAGGGAGGGGAGATAACGGGGCGCAGCCTGCTCCGGAGCATCCCGGCAGCCGAGAGCCTGTGCAGGGCTCGGCCTCTCCAGCGCCGCTTTCCCCGGGCTGCAGCTCCCTCTGTGGGGCTGTGCCAGCGCCCTGCACCTGCGGGGACAGCGACAGTCACTGCAGGGACAGGGACACTGCAGGGACCGGGACACTGCAGGGACAGGGACAGGGACAGTCACTGCAGGGACAGGGACAGTCACACTGCAGGGCTGTGCCAGCGCCCTGCACCTGCAGGGACAGGGGCAGGGACAGTCACCCCCCTGGAGCTGAAATGTAACCCTGGCCCACTCCTCCAAAAGCATTTCTCAGAGCTCTGTAATGGAAAAAGGCAAACTGAGGACATGGAATCTGTTTTGATTCTTTTTGGTGTTGTTTTTCCTGCTGTTTTGTTTCCCCTTAAGCCAAGCTGGTGACAATTCTTCTTTCTGTCTTCAGGGCTGGCTCCAAATAAAACTGAACACAGCACGATACCAAGTCTCATAAAATTTAAACATTTCTATCCTCCATTTCTGCAAGAAGTTTAACACATCTCCTCCTTGCAAGCCTTGTGGGACTCACAAGAGGTTGAGCTAGCAAGGTTGCTATTTAGCCTTCAGAAGTTTTTAAAAGCCTTTTGAAAGGAGAAAAAACAACTCTTGAAGTCATCCATGGCACAGATAAGATGCTTCCATCTACCTTTCAAAGGCTCCAGGGGGGCTGAGGAGCAGAGCCAGCCATGAAACAGGCTCAGGAGTGTTTACTCTGTGCCCATTGGGGGTTGAATACACTAATGTAATGATGAAGTGAATGCCAAGGCTTCAGGAAAGAGCAGAGGTATCCCCTTGTGGGGGGAACTCGGGGCACCAAACATCTGATCTGTGCACACTGACAAAATGTGTGTGCACGTGGCATTTCCCATTAGGAAGAGCCACCAGTTCCTCCTGAGCCCTGTGGTGCCCTGTCCCTGTGGGCCCTGCAGCTCAGTTCCTCCTTTGGTCCTCCTAGAGACCCGAGGAGCTCAGGGGGAGGGAGCAGAGACTTCTGTAAAGGGTTTGGGAGCGTGATGGGGCTGCAGAGTCAGACAGGGAATGCCCAGGGCAGCAGCAGAACCCGCTGGCACTGCCCCCTGTGACTGTCCCCTGTGACTGTCCCCTGTCCCCTGTCCCCTGTCCCTGCTCTCTGTCCCCTGTGACTGTCCCCTGTGACTGTCCCCTGTGACTGTCCCCTGTCCCCTGCCCCTGTAACTGCTCCTTGTCCCCTGTGACTGCTCCTTGTCCCCTGTCCCTGCTCCCTGTCCCCTGTGACTGTCCCCTGTCCCCTGTGACTGCCCCTGTCCCCTGTCCCTGCTCCCTGTCCCTGCTCCTTGTCCCTGTCCCCTGTCGCTGCTCCCTGTCCCCTGTCCCTGCTCCCTGTCCCTGTTCCTTGTCCCTGTCCCCTGTGCCTGCTCCCTGTCCCTGTTCCCTGTCCCCTGAGACTGCTCCCTGTCCCCTCTCCCTGCTTCCTGTCCCCTCTCCCTGTCCCCTCTCTGCCCCCTGTGACTGCTCCCTGTCCTTATCCCCTCTCCCTGTCCCTGTCCCCGCTCCCTGTCCCTGCTCCCTGCTCCCTGTCCCCTGTGACTGCTCCCTGTCCCTGCTCCCTGCTTCATGTCCCCTCTCCCTGCTCCCTCTCTGCCCCCGTGACTGCTCCCTGTCCTTATCCCCTCTCCCTGTCCCTGTCCCCGCTCCCTGTCCCTGTCCCCTGTCCCTGCTCCCTGTCCTTGTCCCCTGTCCCCTCTCCCTGTCCCCTGTCTCTGCTCCCTGTCCTTGTCCCCTCTCCCTGTCCCCTGTCCCCGCTCCCTGTCCCCTGTTCCCGCTCCCTGTCCCCTGTCCCTGTCCCCGCTCCCTGTCCCCACTCCCACCCTCCCAGGGCAGCCCATTCAGCAGGAAAGGCTCACTGGGATTTTACCATGAGAGGAGGAACCAGCAGCAGCCGGGGCCGGCTCAGGTGCTGGGGAGCAGCGGCTTCGTCTGCCCGGGGCCAGGCACGTCCTTCTCCTTGTCCTTGTCCTTGTCCTTGTCCCCGTCCCTGTGGGGCTGTGGGTGCTGCCGGGAGCCGGGGGACCCCTGGCCAGGCCAGGCCGGCGGGTGACAGCAGAGCAGGGCCAGCAGCCGGGCGCGCACCGCCCGCGTGCACAGCACGAACATGATGCAGTTGGCTCCTCCTTGGAACGTGTTCCCAATGCCCTGCAAGGGCAGCACAGCAATCACCCGGGGCTGCTGCCAGGGCACCCCAGGGGAGAGCAAACCCTGCCAGGGCAGCTGCAGCGCTGGCACGGGAGCAGCTGCAGTGCTGACAGCCACAGGAGCAGCTGCAGCACTGGCACAGGAGCAGCTGCAGTGCTGACAGCCACAGGAGCAGCTGCAGCGCTGGCACAGGAGCAGCTGCAGTGCTGACAGCCACAGGAGCAGCTGCAGCGCTGGCACAGGAGCAGCTGCAGTGCTGACAGCCACAGGAGCAGCTGCAGCGCTGGCACAGGAGCAGCTGCAGTGCTGGCACAGGAGCAGCTGCAGTGCTGGCAGCCACAGGAGCAGCTGCAGTGCTGGCACGGGAGCAGCTGCAGTGCTGGCACAGGCACAGGAGCAGCTGCAGTGCTGGCACAGGAGCAGCTGCAGTGCTGGCAGTCACTGACTCTGAGAACAAGGAATTCAGAAAAATGTGTGGGTTTTTTCCCAAAAAGCACCCAAAAGCAGCCCAGGGGCTGTTGTGTGCTGGCACTGGTGTAGGGAAGGAGAGGCTGAGCCCTGCTGGAGGACAGACACCCAACACTGCCCACAGGGCTGTCCATCCCTGCCATCCCCTGGCCATCCCTGTCCATCCCTGCCATCCCTGTCCATCCCTGTCCATCCCTGCCATCCCTGTCCATCCCTGTCCCCATGCCATCCCTGCCAGTGCAGCTTTCCTCTGCAGCCACTAGATGCTGCTGGAGCAGCTCCTGCTGCATTTCTGCTCCGTGCAGCTCTGAGGGGAGCAGGCGCTCCTGCAACACTCGGTGCCACCACGAAAAGCGACAGCGGGGGCCCCGGGCTGCATTCCCAGCGAACACTCACGTGCAGGACAACCAGGACGGAGTTCCGCACGGCAGGGGAGTTGCAGAGGGTCAGCACGAAGCGCACGGTGCTCCAGATGCGGAGGAAGATGAAGATGACGGGGATGAGGATCAGCTTCTTGTCCGCCACACTGGCGCGGGGCTGCAGGGCCGGGGGCCCGGGCAGGATGGGGCGATACTCGGAGAGGGCGGCGTGCTGCAGGGGACAGGACGGGGACAGCGAGGGGACAGGGGCTGAGCAGCAGCCTGCACACAGGGGACAGCCCCAGGACCCCTCCCCAGAGCAAGGGAAGCCCTCAGGAGGAAGCAGGGCTGCAGTGAGGAGCAGGAGCCGCGCTCTGTCTTCGGGGACAGCAATTCCAGCAGCCCGCTCTGCCTTTGGGGACAGCAATTCCAGCAGCCCGCTCTGCCTTTGGGGACAGCAATTCCAAGCGGTGACTGCGGGAGGCTCCCTGTGCTGCCCTGAACCCGAGGTGAGAAGGGGGCCAGCTGCCCCCCAGCACTGTCCCCAGCACCGGGCAGGGACAGCAGCGTGCCCAGCAGTCCCTGGCACAGCAGGAGCCGGGTCAGGTTTCCAGGAGGTCACAGTGCTGCCCAGGCTGGGACAGCGTGTCCTGCCTGCTGCGTGCCAGGTGATGCTGACAGGCACCAGCAAACCCTTCCCTTCCCTTCCCTTCCCTTCCCTTCCCTTGACACTCAGGGCTGCTGAAGATCACCTCATTCTTCCAAATATCTGCAGGCTCCTGCCCTAACCAGGGCTGTGTTCATCCCCACCACCACCACAGCTGCACGCCAAGCAGAGGCAGAATTTCCAGAAGGACATTACCCACACAAGGGGTTTTTTCCCTAACCTAGCTCAGAGAGAAAAGGAATCTCTGGGTGCAGCTCCTTCTGCCACTCTCATCTGGGTTTGTCTGGTATGCAAACGCTGTCCTAGATGCCTGGATTCTGTGTGTTCACAGGTTACAGAACAACTGAAGCTCTGAATTCCAGCCCCTGCCAGGACAGGGAGTCTCCTGTGTGGTGCCCAGAGCCATCCAGTGCCTGGGCTCCCAAATGCAGCTTTGAGCTGCAGTACAAAATAACATTCACAAACACAAACTATCACTGGAGACACTGAAAGGACCGAGGCTTGAGAATTGCAATCTTGGTACAAGAGGAACTGCAGAAAACTGATTAAAGCTGAATTTGTCCTTCACATTCCGTTTCAATTCTTACTGTAGCATTTCCCTCATGAACATCCCACAACCCCTGCTCGTTTTCAAAGGGCTTTTTCATTCTGCTTGTGCAAAGTCACTGTGTGATGGTGCTGCTGGATAGGACACTGCCTCTCCCAGGGACATTTCGGTGCCGTGGAGCAAGAAATGCAGGGGAACAAGGAGCAAGAAATGCAGGGGATGGAACCACCCAGCAAAATACTCACTGCTCTGTTGATGTGCTTCTTGATGAGGAGGTAGAGCACTGGCAGGGTGACATAGGCCAGGATCTCCCAGGCCTTCCCTGTCAGCAGCATCCACAGGAGCCGATCCTCAGCGTCCAGGTTGACCCAGCACCAGCCCACAGAAACGTTGGAGGCGTCGTAGCCGATCTTCTTCAGAGCCACGGCGGCCACCGTGATGGCCAGGGGGACACCCCAGCTGGGGGGACACGGAGAGGGGGGCTCAGCCAGGAGCAGCCTCAGCTGAGCCCCCCGCTCCTCAGCACACAGAGCCAGGGGCTCTCCCCCAGACAGGACTGCAGGGCTTAGCCCAGAGCAGCAGCACTGCGGGCAGAGGCCAGCAGGTCCTGGGCACTGTGATCCCCCAGGGCTGCAGATCCACCCCTGGAACTGGGCACTGAGTGATCCTCCAGGGCTGCAGATCCACCCCTGGAACTGGGCACTGAGTGATCCTCCAGGGCTGCAGATCCACCAGGGCTGTAAATCCATCCCTGGTCCTGGGCACTGACTGATCCACCAGGGCTGCAGATCCACCAGGGCTGCAGATCCACCCCTGGAACTGGACACTGACTGATCCTCCAGGGCTGCAGATCCACCAGGGCTGCAAACCCACCCCTGGTGGGCACTGAGTTATCCAGGGCTGCAGATCCACCCCTGGGGACCCTGTGGAGTGGGAGCCCAGCCCTGAGGGCAGGGCTGCAGGGATGTTGCAGATCCACCAGGGCTGCAAATCCACCCCTGATGGGCACTGAGTGATCCAGGGCTGCAGATCCACCAGGGCTGCAGGGATGTGCTGCACTCTGAGCTGGCCCTCACAGCACGCTCAGGGGGCAGCAGGACCCATCCCACCTCCTGCCCTCTCCACTCCCCCCTGGACACAAGGAGGTGGGGGATTACACAAGGCCAGGGCACTGTAAAATGTGATTTTCCTGCAGGACCCAGCCAGCTGATCCTGAGCTTTCAGAGCACAAGCAGCCAAGTCCCACCTTCTGATTCCAAAGTGAAACTCTGCACACAAAGAAATCCACAACTTCATTCTGCCAGTGGTTTGTGTGTTTGCTTTGCTTTTAAGTGGAGATGTACTCAGTATTTTGGGAGCAAAAATATTATTTCTGAAGGACAAAGAGGCAGGGAAAAGTTCTGGGAGTAAGAGCAAAAAGCTAAGAAAGCAAAGAGGAGCCACATCCACATAACTTGGAGCTGTGACTTTGGCTTCTCACTTGATGGCAGAGGCAAATACAGGGAAGCATTTAGAAGAAAAATAACTGTGGTGACACACTTGAAGTCACTCAGCAGCTGGGGCTGCCCACAGGAAGCCATGAGGAAGAACAGAGGAATCCCACCAGCCCAAACAGAAGTTCCACCACAGGAGAGCCCTGCATGAGGCTGAGGGTGTCACCTGCCCTCCCCAGGGCCAGCCCAGCTCAGGCTGGCTCCCAGCACAGCCCCTGCTCTCCCCAGGTGCACAGAAAACAAATCCATCACTGCCTGGCTCTCTGTCAGCCTTCCACTGACAGCCTGGAGCAGCTGCAGGGAGCATGAAAGGATCCTGCCCCAAAAATCAGACACCAGACCAGGTAGGCAAACAGATTATCTGAGCCTCCACAGCCCAGCTGCAGAACCAGAGATAACCCCATGATATTAGATTTCCAAAATGCCCCATTTCCTACTCTTAAGTAATGTCTGGATTCACCCACTCACAAAATAAACAAACACAAATATAAGGCTGTAAGAAAATTTAGAGTCCACTCTGCAGCCCGTTGGGAACATTTTGTCTCAGGGCTCAGCTCAGAACAGGCAGAGCTATTCCAAGCCAGTGCTGTTATTTAAGGACAGTTGTGCTGCAGGAAGCCCTCCCCACTCTGTTATCAGAGCAGGCTTCTAAAAACATCCCAAACGTCACCACCACCATGAAAGTTTCCACACAATTCAGGAGCCCTTTTGGTAAAACTGGGGATTTCTCAGAAAACAACTGCAGATGCAAAGACATTCCATTCTCAGCACTCCTGCAAGCACCGAGCACCAGGGTAAAGAATTCAAGAGAAATGGCACTTCCTAAAAGAAACCATGGAAAGGCACAAAGGCAGCAAGAAAAAGGAAGTGAATTAAGACACTAATTTGACAGGATTTTACAAATAGTGATCTCACCAGTGAGCTGAAACTGCAAAAGAATGACAATAAAACCAGGTCCAATGATGGAGTGTGGATGTAAGAGAGGACAGTGCAAGTACAGACACAGAGAGGCCACGGGAGGAAATAACTCACCACTGAGAAAGGGACCCAAAAACCTTCAGGTGACAGCTGGGGAAAGGAAGAATCAAAGTGAGCAGGAAGTTAATCTGCACTGGAATAGCAGTCTGGGATCAGAAGGACATTTACCACTAACACCAGGCAAAAGGACCACCAACAAAGGGAAATCAGAGAGGACCTAGGAAGGAATCAGACATTTCTGTGAAGTTCAGCTGCATTTCTGCAGGCTGGAAAGGAGAACTGAGACTGGTGATTCAGTTCTCAGGAGCTCCAAAGCGACAGATTCAGGAGGGCTGCCAAACGTCAGTGCTTTTCTGAACTAGGAGAGGGGAAAAGGAGGGATCGGGAGAGATCATCACCCAGGGGTGTGTGAGCACTGGAATAAAAGGGATCCAGGTAACAGAGAAGCAGAAATATCCCTCTGAGCCCCAAAGAGCAGGCTGGGCCTCTGCAGAGCACACCTGGATGCAAACAGTTGGGAGAGAAGGGACGAGCACTCCTCTCCTGTAAAAGGCTGGAAATCCAACCTGCAGGACAGACACAGCAGAGCTCCTGGTCACCTATGATTAAAAAACCATCCAGCCCAGCAGGTCTTTGCACGGCCACAGCAAAACAAGGCAAGGTGAGGACCCTCAGCTCCAGCAGTGCCCAGCTCCACTTGCCCTGCTTTCCTGGGGTCAGCTTGCCCAGTGACCACGCTCTGGTTTCCCCCCAGGCTCCCACAAGCAGGTGATCTGTGTCACCTGCCTGCACAGGTGAGCCAAGGAGCCGTCCTGCCTGCGGGAGTTTGTACTCGGGAAGGAGGGAGAAGTCAGGCAGTCGGGAAGGAGCTCTGAGCACACCTGGCGAGCAGAACTCCCAAATCTGCCCCATCCCACCCTGCAGGAGGCAGCCCGTGAAGGAGAGAGGGACAGTGCAGACGTGCACGAGAGGAGCCAGGCACTCCATGGATGTGAATAGATATACATGGTTAAAAATGTGCATATATATATCAAATATTATATATATATATATATAACATGAATAGATATACATGGTTAAAAATGTGCATATATATATAAAATATTAAATATATATATATAACATAATAGATATGCATGGTTATAAATGTGCATATATATATAAAATATTAAATATATATATATAACAGAATAGATATGCATGGTTATAATTAATAGATATGCATGGTTATAAACGTATATATATATATATATATATATAACATAATATATATGCATGCTTATGAATGTGTATGTATATAAATAATTTATTTTAATATTTAACATGAATAGATATGCCTGGTTATAAATGTGTTTATATATATAAATAATATATATTTTTTAATATATGATAGATATGCCTGGTTATAAATGTGTGTATATATATATATTTTTTAAAATATATAATATAATAGATATGCCTGTTTATAAATGTATATATATATATTTTAAATATATAACATAATAGATACGCATGGTTATAAATGTGTATATATAAAACATATTTTAATATATAAGCATGCATATGTAACAGATTTTTTACAGTGAGTATATTTATGGTTATGATGACCTGCACAGCCTGACCATGACATGAAAACCCTTCCAAATGTTGTCAGCTGTTGGTATCAAAACCCAAGCAGGAAACAGCCCGAGGTGGGCTCTGCCTGGCCCGTCACTCAGCCCCAGTGTGGATGAGCTCTCCCAGCCAAGGTGATGTTCCCAGCAGAGGACACCTGAGCCCTGGAAATTCAGCAGCACTGGGCAGCCTGCACGGCACGCTGCGTGCCAGAACTCACATTTTACAGCCATGTAAGTGTTTCCAAAGCTGGCTGTGGGCTTGTTTTCATCTGAGCTCACCAGGTTTAAAACCAAAGCAGAGGCTGGAACTGGTGGATGTGTTACCACAGGAATGGATCCCTGGGGCACAGACCTGTCTGACGGGTCTGAGCCACTGTGACATCCTGATTTCCCTCAGGAAAATTCCAGCTTCTGACTTCCAGCGTGTATTTAGTCAGCTCCATCTCCAAGCATTAAGTCCAGAATTTCATCTCCCAGGTAGCTACAAAAGTGCAGGGAAGGAAAGCAGGGTGATGTGTCACGAGGGGATGGGCAGGGAACACGTCCTCACTTGTTGGCTCTGGCTTTTCAGACACCTCATAAATCAGAAGCAGCTTTGAACACTGGCTCTGCACAGAACAGGAGGCATTTACAAAGCAGGACCTGACCACAGGTGCCCAACAGCCTTTAAATAGAGCAGATGGTGCTGATCAACAGCAAGGACTGAAGATGGCATTTCATTTTTACTGTAAAGAACCAAAAATAAACCAAATTCACCCAGAGCTGCTCAGTGTGAGCATCTCTCCCTGCAGGGGTGGAGCAATCTCTCTCCCAGGATTTTTACAGCTTTCAGGGAGTGCACAGACAGCAGCCAGCACTGCTTCAGTGGCTCTGCTTCTCTCCACACTTGGTAGCTGACAAGGCTGAGGAGCATTAAACCAGATGGAGAAACAGAAGCACAGACAAAAGCCACACAAGCAATTAGCAGACAGCAAAATTACAACTAGGCCAGCTTTGCCTGAGCTCTTTGAAGTGCCTGGTGGAGCCAGAATGCCCAGGAAGGAGACAGGCTTGGTTTTTACATCCATTAAGCAACACGTGGCTCTTCCCCAGCACCCTGTGCTCACCGCAGCTCTGAGTGCCACCCTCAATTTGCTGGAGATGGAGCAGCAGAAATGCTCCTGCAGTGCATCCTGCCCAGCCCAGCAGCAGCCTGGCGTGCCCAGGGCCTCGAGCAGCCCCTCAGCTCCTCACCCAGCAGCAGCTCCAGCAGGGACTGAAGTTCCTCCTGGCTCACACTCAGCCTCAAGGTCTCCCTGGCCCATCCTCACCTGGACTCGGCTCTCTGCAATCATCTGCCAAATTCTGCTGTTTGAAACTAAAAGGTGTCAAAAATTTGACTAAGAAACCAAAGAAAATGCTCTACTTGTCCTGAGGGCTTTTTTTATTCCCTTTTAAAGCAGATCACTCCTCTTATAATTTACTGCAGAAGCTTGGCAGCACGGGGGACTGAAGGATCACTGTTTTGCTCAGCGTGGACGTAGCACATGATTCCACAAGCTCCAATTGCATAATGAAAGCTTTTACTAAACACAATGTGGAAAATCAGTGCCCTAAATAGCAGAAACTGAGACATAAAGCTACGCTGTGGACTGGTTTGTCTTGCTTTCAATCAAACACGCCAAAACAACCTTCAGAGCGCTTCCCTAGCAGTTTCATCACTTGTGGGCAACAATTCCCTGTGAGTATGGAATTACAGCAACCTGCCTGGGCAGAGGGGAAGGATCCACAGGCCAGGCTGACAGGGAGGACAGGGAGGGTGGGGACCTGTGGAAACAGATCCCAAACACGGAAGCTTGGGCAGCAGCAGGCAGGTACCAAAGACACAAGGTTTGTTTTGTTATTTCTTAGAGCATCACAGCAGACTGCAGGGAAAGCAGAAGCCAGGATTTCCAGTGATTAGAACTTGCCAGAGATTTTCCTAAGCGATGTTGAACAAAAAAAAAAAACAAAAAAAACCTTCAGCTTTTCCACGTCTCCAACTGTTCACTTGGGAAGGGAAAGGGGGAACAAGCAGGGCTGGTCATTGAAAGACAGCAAGATCCCTGTTTAAAAGGAATTTGAGGAGAAAAGAGAAGGAAAGTGCAGAGGCTCAAAGGACACCGGAGGCTCCATCCCAGCGCAGGGTGGGGTGCCTGGGGGTCCCAGCACATCCCACAGCACCCACCTGACGGCGTGGAAAGCCCAGAGCAAGCCCGGGCCTGCGGGCGAGCCCCTGACGATGCTCAGGTACAGGTAGAGGGCGATGGCCATGGTCCAGAAGAAGGAGCTGGTGTTGGCGAAGGTGGACAGGGCGCCCTGCAGCACGCAGTCCCACGAGGTGCTCTGGAAGTCCCGCAGCACGCCGTAGAAGTAGGAGAGGGCGGAGAGCAGGTCGGCCAGGCTCAGGTGCAGCAGCAGCTGCCGCGGCCGCGTCCGCAGCTCCGGCCAGCGCGCCTGCGAGCCCAGCAGCAGCGCCGAGCCCGCGCAGGACAGCGCGCACGACAGCAGCACCGCGCCCCGCTCCGCCGACTGCAAACGGGTCGGGGGCAGCGGGGCCGGCATGGCCCGGAGGGACAGCGGGGGGACAGCGGGACAGCGCGGGGACAGTGAGGATAGCGGGGACAGCAGGGACACCGGGACAGCGGGGACAGAGGGGACAGCGGGGGGACAGTGAGGGGATAGCGGGGGGACAGTGAGGATAGCGGGGACAGCAGGGAGAGCGAGGGACAGCGGGGACAGAGGGGGGACAGTGAGGAGACAGCGGGGGGACAGTGAGGATAGCGGGGGGACAGTGAGGATAGCGGGGACAGCAGGGACAGGGAGGGACAGCGGGGACAGCGGGGACAGGGAGGGACAGCCGAGACAGTGGGGGGACAGTGAGGGGATAGCGGGACAGAGAGGACAGAGAGGGACAGCGGGGGGACAGCGGGACAGCGCGGGGACAGTGAGGATAGCGGGGACAGCAGGGAGAGCGAGGGACAGCGGGGACAGAGGGGGGATAGTGAGGATAGCGGGGACAGAGAGGACAGCGAGGGACAGCGGGGACAGTGAAGGGATAGGGAGGGGACAGCCGGGATAGAGGGGACAGAGAGGGACAGCGGGGACAGTGAAGGGATAGTGAGGGGACAGCCGGGATAGAGGGGACAGCGGGGACAGTGAGGGACAGCGGGGACAACGAGGGGATAGCGAGGGACAGCGAGAGGACAGCGGAGAGGGGACAGCGGGGGGACAGCGGGATGGAGCGGGGGACAGCGCGATGCAGCCCCGCGGGGCGGGCGCGCTCCGCCGGAGTGACCGCCCTGCCCTGCCCGCGGTGAGCGGAGCCCGGCACCGGCCCCGGCCCCGGGCGGAGCAGCGCAGCAGCCGCCGCAGAGCCCCGGGAGCGGCGGGGCCCGGCCCGCCCCCGCCGTCATGTGAGAGCGGCCCGGCCCTCGCTGCCCGGGGAATCCCGACCGGGACCGGAACGGCACAGGGACAGGGAATGGGACCGGGAGCGGGACAGGGACAGGGAGCGGGACAGGGAGCGGGAACGGAATAAGGACCGGGAACGGGACAAGGACTGGGATCAGGATAAGGACCGGGACAATGACAAAGACTGGGACAAGGACTGGGAGCGGGACAAGGATCGGGAGCAGGACCGGAATAAGGACCGGGACAAGGATCGGGATCGGGACAAGAACCGGGAACGGGACAAGGACCGGGAACAGGACCGGAATAAGGACCGGGACAAGGATCGGGATCGGGACAAGAACCGGGAACGGGACAAGGACCAGGAGCAGGACCGGGACAGACAAGGATCGGGATCGGGACAAGAACCGGGAACGGGACAAGGACCGGGAGCGGGACCGGAATAAGGACTGAGACAAGGACCAGGAGCAGGACCGGGGCCGGGATAAGGACCGGGGCCGGGAGCCGCTCCCGCCGGAGCGCACGCACCGCGGCCCCGCAGCGCAGAAAACCCTTTTTTGCTTTTTTTTCTTTCAATGGAAAATCCCGCCCCGGCCGACGAGCGGGAGCGGGAAGGATCCAAGCCCGGGGCTGCCGCTGTCTCTCCTTTCCTACGGACACCTCTTCCCCAGGACAGCGCACACTCTCCTGCTGAGCCCGGGCCCCGGGATTCATCCACAGGTTTGTACACAAGCTGCTGCCTTTGGAAACGAGATCTTCTTCCAACGTACCCTAGTTACCACTCGGTTAAACTTCAGCCCAGCAGCCTTTACTTTTTTTAGGAATTTATTTCGGAGCGTGATGCCCCCTGCATGTTCTTTGTAGAAAAAGGAAGCTGCAGCAACTTGCACGTGCCCCGCACACAACCTGGCACCAACAGCTTTTTAAACTGTACCACTATTGCAGGCTTTCTTCAGCTCCCATCTGAGCCCTCAAAAAAAAAAAACCCAAACCAAACCAAACCAAAAAAAAAAAAAAAAAACCAAAAAAAACCAAAAAAAAACCAAAAAACCCCAAAAAAACCCACCCAAAAAACAACCCAGGAGACAAAGCTTTGTCAGGGCTGCATTCCCAGTTGCTGCTCTCGCACATTCTTGGCTTCCTCCTTGTTCCCCGTTTCCCTTTTCCCCACTTTTGTAGCACAAGCCCCACCTAGCACAGACATCCAGTCAAAGCACGTCAGCAAACACCCTGCCTGCTGAGTGCTGCCTTTTTTTGGGTGATGGATGTGGCTCCACAGCACAGCTTAATTAAGTCTTGCCAGATAGGAATATCTGAATCCACAAGTCAGTGGAGAGGCAAGTTCTGGATTTATCTTGATTCTCTTTCTTGATTTTCTTTTTTTTTAGAACTCTTTCAGTTCTTAAAAAAAAAAAAAAAAAAAAGGCTCGTCAGGTCATCATAAATTGCTGAGCTAAAACCCAGAGAAATGGATCTTTGCCTCAACAATCAGAAATAGGACAGGCAGAGGATTTTCTGCCGGGTCTCTCCCTGTTTTCACACCCAGAGTCTGTGCTTCAAACCTGAGCGACAAAAGGCAAATAATTCTTACTAAAGATCCCCATCACCTCCCATTTTTTTTGGCACCTCCGCAGGACACTCAGCACCTCTGTGGCATTCCTGGCACCCGATGCTGTCACCTCTCTGCAGGGCAGGGAGCAGCTGTCTCTGTGCTCCAGCCCCAGGGAATCTGCAGCTGCCCGGAGAGCAGGAATGTCTGGGAAGTGCCCAAGACACATCTCAGTTCAAAGGCAGCATTGTCTACAGCTCAGGGACAAAAATCTAAGGAAGTGGTTTGTCATAGAGCAACTGCGCACCATGAAAATTCTCCTTTCAGAATTTCACTTTCAGATGCTTTTTACAGCATAGGGAGATAAAGCAACATGGTATTTGGTGAAAAGACACAGAAAATCTTTTTTAATGACTGGAATTCACCCCACCAACTACTAAAAGAGCTTTCTGACACACAGGCTGCACTCTGCATCTTATAAAGCACTGGGTGAGCTGGAACTACATAAATTTACCTCCACTGTGAGACAGAATGTACCGATATAACCTTTTAAATTTTTATTTAATGGCTTCAACCAGAAGTTTTGACTTTGCAGCTGGGTAGGAAGCTGGGCTGAGGCACAGTTCTCCATTAACTGGGAACCTGGCCGTATGCCTTGGGGCTGTTCAGTGAGGATGAGGAGCAGCTCTGCATGTCACAGACAGAGCCTGGACAGGGCTGCTGCTCCCGCGGGCCTGCTGCCCTCTGGAGACTTCTACCAGAGATGGACACTCCTTGGGAAGAGCACATCAGCAGAAGTTCTGGTTTACTGCCCTGAAATGCTCCAAGCCCAGCTCAGGGCTGGCCAGGGAGGAGAGCCTGGGCTTGCCCTGGGCCACGGAAACTGCCCCACATCCCAGCCCCTGTCACTGCCCCACATCCCATCCTCTAACACGGCCCCACATCCCAGCCCCTGTCACTGCCCCACATCCCAGCCCCTGTCACTGCCCCACATCCCAGCCCCACATCCCAGCCCCTGTCACTGCCCCACATCCCAGGCATTAACACTGCCCTACAAGCCAGCATCACATCCCATCCTCTAACACTGCCCCACATCCCAGCCACATTAACACTGCCCCACAATGCAGCCTCACATCCCAGCCCCTATCACTGCCCAACATCCCAGCCCCTATCACTGCCCCACATCCCAGCCCCACATCCCAGCCCCTATCACTGCCCCACATCCCAGCCCCTATCACTGCCCCACATCCCAGCCCCACATCCCAGCCCCTGCACCGTTTATTCTGTTTATTTCTGAGCCAAGGGAGCCCTGAGCTGCCCTGAGCCCGGGTGGAGGAGCAGCCCCTGCCCCCAGAGCAGCCCCCCCAGTGTCCCCAGCCCCACAGAGGGCACTGCTGGTCCCTGTCACAGCACGGGGAGGTGTCACCTCCTCCTGTACCTGCCCGCACCCCCAGCTCGGGCACTGCTCCCAGCTGAAACAAGGTGAGCCCAGTTCCACTGAACCCCTTAAAAAAGGTTTGAAAGCAGATGAGCACTGCAGTAACCAGAACCCTTCAATGTCTGGGTCCCAAACACCATGGAGCTGCTTCCAGCCAAGGAAGGCAGAACAATTCCTTCTGAACTGCCCAGCTCCTCAGGGCCCAGCCTGAGAGCAGCTCAGACACACAAGTCCCACCCTCCTCAGAGGGATCCAGGATGAAATGCACCCTGCACAGCCCAGGGAATTCCTGTAAATCCATTCCCACAGACCCTCAGCGCAGCCAGGCAGGGTTTGTGTGAGACCCAGCCAGGGGGAACAAACCTGAAACAGAGACCTGGCCCTGGAACTGGAACACAAGTCAGGAAAAAACAGGGCCAAGAGTTTTACCAGCACCTGGGCTCTTCATTTCCTGGAGAGTGGGAGCATTTTTCAAAGCCACCAGCTGATGCTCGGGGTCACTGCGGGGGCTGAAAGGAGAGCCAGGGGAGCGAGGGTCAGAGAAGGCTCCTGAGACAGGGAAAACCCTCATGCTGTCCTTTGTGGCTCCTTCTAGCCTGTGACAACAAAAAATCTACATTTCTTGCACTCCTGGCACAGATTAAGGACCTGATCCTTGACTTCATTAACCCCTTCTCTTCCAGTTTGGATAGACTCTAATGCTGCCAGCTTTGGACACAGCACTGCTGAGAGACACCCGGGCTGCTCAGGAAATTCCAGAATGATCACTCAGAGCCCTCAGAACCATCTCCAGACACCTTTCTTCAAGGAGATTCAGAAGACTGAAGTAAAAAGCCCCCAAGGAAATACATTCCCTGCGTGTCTAGCTAGGAAAAGGAGCAGCAAGGCAGGCAGGCAGCTGGAGGAGCAGCCACTCCATCCACCCTGAATTCCAACAGCTCCCACTCTCCTCCAGGAGCCAGAAGTGCCACACAGCAAACCTTGGGGGCAGTGCCACCTCGTGTCATCACAGTAACTGGAAGTGAGGGGATTAAAGCTGGTTTTGGTTTGTTCCACGTCCTCTGGATGCACTAGCTGAAAAGAAGTTTAATTAAAGCTATTTTAATTTATGCCCAGCCCTCTGGAAATGCCCTTTAAGCAGACCTTCAGCACAAGAGCAGCTCCTGGAGTAACAAACCCTCAGCTGTTGGCAGGCTCAGGGTGGGGATGGAGGAGCAAACACAACCCTGGAAAAGCTGCTGGGGTGGGACTGAGTGTGTCCTGTGCCAGAGGGACCCCAAAACAGAGAGTCTGTGCCCCACACACAGCCCCCACCCTGGGCACCCCCTCAGCAAGCCCAGGGCCTTCTCCTGCAGCCAGCAGAGATGCTCAGTCATTTTAAACAATTCCATTAGCATTAAAAAGTGTCTCAGGCTGCAGGGATGGCACAGGAATTCCAGCCAGCAGCTCTCAGAAGAAAAGCCACCAGCAATGAGAACTTTTTTTTTTGCAGGCAGAATGTAATTAGTGACACTGCTGGAACCAAGCCAGCAGCAATCAATGGATTAAAGGATGCTCCAAGTGTTGTGATAGTTATTAATTTCAAATTTAAATTAGGGGATTAATATGGGATATTCCTTCATGCTGCGGCTGTGTGGAGAAAAATAAAGATATTAATACTGTACATGCCATAATGAAACAGAGCATGCCACCAACAAGCACCAGAAGTTACATTTAGGAGCTGGTGACAGGACCCAGCAGCTCAGACTGCAGCGTGGAGGGAGGGGTGGCACTTTGGGGGAGGGCACTGACACAGAATGAAAGGGCCTGCAGTGCAGGTGCAGGATATTTCTCTAATATTCTCATTACCCATAATTAATATTCTCATCACCCATAACTAGTATTCTCATCACCCATAACAGCAAGGCTTGGACTGCACCGTGGCAGGATTTCTGGGGTGCAGCTTTTAGTGCCAATCCCACAGCCTGTGCAGGGCAAAGGGCTGCCCACAGGTGTGGCTCTAGCACAGGTGAGACACAAACCTGGCAAGGAGAGCCTCGGATTCACGACGCCCACAGCTGCCCCGGAGCCTCGCTGCAGCTGCTTGTGCAAGGGATTTGCAGCAGGGAAAGTGCCAGGCAGCAAAAGCACAGCTGAGCTGCAGGGGAAGGTGCAGCAGAGCCCTCCAGAGGCACTGGGCAAGGACAAAGTGTCGCCCTGATTTCTTAAGATTTTCTAAGCCTTCTGATGTTCACTGTCTTGTATCGAACTTTCTCACACCCTTTCTGTAAACAACTCATTGTTTTGCGTTCCTTTATGGAGGAGGAGAAACCTGATGGACTGTTGGCTTGTCCAGTGTCCCTGGAGAGGTGGCACTGTCACCCTCCTATCCTGTGTCACCTTTGGAAATCTATAGAGAAAATAAATCTCTCTCTTCCTGGCCTGGGAGCAGCAGCGTTGTCTTGTGTCCTGTAGCAACAACAAAGAAGAGAACTTGCAGCGGGGTTCATCTCCTCCTGGTGCTGGTCTCCTCTGGAGCTCCTCGGGCAGTGCCCCTGCCCCGGGGCGAGGTGAGGCAGCCCAACAACGTGCAGCACTTCTAGGGCAGTATACTTGCTGATTGCTTCCTTGACCATTGCTCACAACAACCAGCTAAGACACTGCCAAAGAAACACTCACAGCTGGCACCAGGCGGGGGGGGCTGGAATCCTCCTCTCTTCTGGCTCTCAGGGGTCTGGGGACAAACACAGAGTCAGGGAAGCGTGCAGCAGTACTGAGGAAAAAGCTTTCGAGGGAGGAGAAACTCATAAATCAACTGGTGTCCTGTCCCTTGCCCCCAGACCGTGGTTAGGGCCTCTAAAAATCACCAATATTAACAGGACAAACACAGCTGGCTTGTCTGAAATCTGTATTTATCCCAATGAGCTCCCAGGGCTCCCACACCACCAGTCAGGCAAGGCAGTGGAACATTAAAGTGCTCCCAAATGCTGAACAGTTTAAGACACAAACCTGCTCAGACTGTTGGTGTGCTCCCTGCACAGGCAGGACAGAAAGAGAATTCACCAGGAGCACAAAGCAGAGAGGCACAGGCTCACCTGTCCAGTGGCTTTGGCTGTCACACCAAGGTCTGGGCTTCTCCAGCATTCCCGCAGCCCTCTGGAAACACAAAACCAGGGAGAAGGCAGCCTGCAGGACCAAGGAGCTGCTTCCCTCTCCCCACAGGCTCAGGAGCAGCACTGATTGCCCAAGGGGCTCTTGTGCAACGCAGAGAGCAAAGGTGCTGCTCGGGAGGAGCCCCCTGCACCCCACACCTGCATCTCTGACACCTGAGCCTCCATCCCCCTCCCAGTGCACCGAGTCTCAAATTCCAAGAGCTCCAGAGTCTGCTCTGTGCTCAGACAGCAAGGCAGAGCGGGCTGAGACTCCGGGCTCTCTTTTTGCTCTTTTTGCTCTGCTCCCAGTGCAATGACATTTCCTCCCGTGCCAAGGCAGCAGACCTGCAGGGCAAGGGGAGCCCCTCGGGCTGCAGGCAGGTGAAGGGCAGAGCCCACCCCCCTGGCTCTCCCCAGCAGGGCAGGATCTGGAGCAGGTGTTTTCACCGAGATTGAAGACAGAGCTCTTGGGTTTCCTGCCAGAAGCACAGCGAGGCCCCAGGCTCCCCTCGCACGGACGGCAGAGCAGCTGCTGGGGACAGCCCTGGCATCACAAAGGTGACACAAGTGCTGTGGCTGCCCATGGCACCCCCCAGGACTGCACAGAGCAGTGACACCCACCAGGCACTGCCAGGGCACAGCCAGGGCACTGCCAGGCACAACCAGGGCACACCAGGCACTGCCAGGCACTGCCAGGGCAATGCCAGGGCACAGCCAGGGCACAGCCAGGGCACACCAGGGCACACCAGGCACTGCCAGGGCACACCAGGGCACACCAGGGCACCCCAGGCACTGCCAGGGCACACCACGGCACTGCCAGGGCACACCAGGGCACACCAGGGCACACCAGGGCACACCAGGGCACACCAGGCACTGCCAGGCACTGCCAGGGCTCCATCCCCAGCAGCCTGCACCATTAATCACAAATCCCTTCCTGGCCGTGACCTTCTCACCCTGAGGAGAAAAGGGCTGATTTCAATCCCAAAACAATTCTCAAACATCAGGACCAAGACCTGGCAGGGGCACCCAGCTCCTGTCCTGCCCCTCTCTGAAGGAGCTGTCCTGTTCCAACCTTGTCCTCATCACCCCTGCAAGATTTCCCACCAGGACCAGGACAAACCTGCCTCTCTCAAGGGCAAGGAAAGCTCAGGGACAAGCACAGCCATAGGAGAGCAAAACAATCTGGTACAGGAGAGGCAGATCCTGCTTCATCCTTCATCCTCCTCGGGATGCAGAATTGCTGTTTTGGGAGCTGTAAAACTTTCCTTTGAGCCACTAAAAACCAAGCACGACACGGCCAGGAAAAGATGTTTTGGGGAACATCTCTGCAGAAAGATAATGACACTGCTTTTAATTTTTCAGATCATTTTAGCCAACGTCTGCTGCTTGCTACCTATAAGAATCCCCAGTGCTTTAGGAAAGGAGAAAACAAATAAATTCACAAAAGCACAATTTAAAGAGGTGCCACCCAATGTTTACAATTTGTTGAATTTTCCATTTAAGGGCTCCATTTTTCCCCAAAATGGCAATTTTCTCTTTAGGGAAAAGAGAACAGGTGGCCTGTTTCACTCCCCATTGACTGTGGGGTGCTTTACCTGGAGAGAGGGACCCCAGGATGCAGAAACCACAGCAACTCCCCCCTGGCTGCTGGGGAAGGTGGCTGGATGCCAGCCCCTGCTCAGTGTCACCGTGGGGGTGACAAAGCAGCAGCAAAAAGCTGTTTGGTGGATCATGTAGCAGGGGAAGAAATCCTCACTGTAAGGAAAGCTGAGGGGTGTGGAGGGTGGAAAAACTCTCCTGTTACAGAAAATCTGCATTCCAAGAAAGGTAAAAGGTCCTGCCAGGTGAGATCTGCAGCAGTCACTTTGTCAGCACAGAAATATGTGATCCCACAAGCTTCATTTAATCAAGCACATTTGTTTGAGCTTGTACCCAGCACTGTGCCTTCCTCCTGCTGTCAACAAGTGGAGTTTATACCCTGACTTTATTCTCAGGTTAGAGCTCTGTTATCCCACCTTCTCCTGCAATATCTCACCAAATCATCCAGCAAACGGTTCTGGGCTTTGACTGCTGGCAGTGCTCACTGAGCCCTGTCATTATTGGATTCCTCCTGTGCTGTCTTCTCCTCCAGGCTCCTCACAGCATCCTAAATACGAGACGCCACCTTAACTCCTGCTGGCCTTTCTTTGATTAACCGCAGGAACTCCCCCAAGAGATGGGCAGACACTCCCCAGAGAGGAGAGAGATTGACCAGGTCCCTCCAGGGCAGTGGCAGGAGCTGGTCCAGCTGGCAGCAGTCCCTGAGGTCCATGGGAGGCCCAGGTGACCCCACCTGCTGCTCCAGGTGATGCCACCTCCTGCTCCAGGTGATGCCACTTCCTGCTCTAGGTGATGCCACTTCCTGCTCTAGGTGATGCCAACCTCCTGTTCCCAGGTAATGTCACCTCCTGCTCCAGGTGATGCCATGCTCCTGCTCCAGGTGATGCCATGCTCCTGCTCCCAGGTGATGTCACCTCCTGCTCCAGGTGATGTCACCTCCTGCTCCAGGTGATGCCATGCTCCTATTCCAGGCTGATCCGAGGCAGGCAGGAGGAGCAGAGGCTCCAGGAGCTGCAGGCACCTGAACTCTTGGGCAGTTCCACCCTCTGATGGGGCTGTGGCTCCTCCCAGCCCTGCCACCACTCCCAGGCTGAGCCCAGACTGGAAATGGGGCAACACCTGGGGAAATGAGGCAAGACCTTTGCCCTGAGCCACTGAGAACAAAAACTCCACACTCTGCTTTCCACATTCTCGGAAATTCTGCTCTTCCCCTTGCAGTAACAATGAGTTACAGAGCTTTCCTCACTTTTTTCCACCCTCTTCTCTCCCAGATGAGATCAGAGATGTCCAGCAGCAACATCCTGAGCTCTGACTGCCAGGCTTTTAAAGCAGCCCTGTCTCAGTGACCACGAGAGCACCTCTGTGCCCCCAGAATGTATTT